TAAAATCCATCTGGTTCACTGATATCCCTGTCTGGCTTATAGATAACTCTTGAGCCACAACAATGTGATTGACTCTTAACCACCCACTGCCTAAAGATATGGAAGAAATAAAGAAAAGGACTGTGGAACAAAAACTGAAATTGCTGGAAAAACCTAGCCAGTCTGACAGCATCTGTGGAGAGAAAGCAGAATTAGCGTTTTGGATTCAGTGACCCCCTTCTTCAGTTCTCCAAAGATCCGTAGATACTGGCTATCTGAAATAAGCAAAATAAACCGAAATTGCTGGAGAAACTCAGCAAGTCTGGCAGTATTTGTGAAGAGAAAATTATTAATGTTTTGAATCCAGTGAGCCATCTTCAGAATGCAAGGGTTCTGAAGGAGAATCGCTGGATTCGAAACAATAAAGCTATTTTCTTTCCACAGATGCCACCAGAGTTGCTGAGTTTCTCCAGCAGTTTCTGTTTACGATCAGTAAGAAACGTTGGCCAGTGATGTTCACATTCCCAGAAAGAGACATTGCTTAGAACCTCTCTCTTCGACCAAATTTATGGTCATTGGATGTAGCATATCATGTGATCTAGCGTCAACTTTTACTTGGTAATGCTCCTGTGATGTATTCATGGGACATTTACCTAATTAAAGGCACTGTACAAATGTAAATTGTTGTCGTGATGGTAACAATTCATTTGTGAAGCCTCAAGCTTCTTAAAAAGCTTTGTGAAATTTTTCAAACCTTTTCTGGGATTTCAAATAAATCAAACTCGAGCGCAGGAACTGAATTATTTCATCAATAAGTTACGACTAGATTTGTGCATCCCAAATACCTTGTGATTGCTCAATTAAAAATTCAGATAGTTTTTAGTTGTGGAAGCAAAATGTTGATTAGTTGTAAAATTCAGAATAAATGGTTTCTATGATTGCTTGTGAAAGTGATGGGGAAAAAGATGCCAGGCAGCGCTGCAGAGATGAGTTTATATGATCATGCTGATTGAGTGTAATGAATCTTGTCGAGCTTTGCTTACAAATGTATTTATTCAGTTACCGCTGTGCGAGTGCTGATAATTATACTGTGCGATGTGGTCTCATCAAGCTTTTTGATCACACAACTTCAAATGAATTCACAAGTTAAAAGCAGGAAGAAGAAAACTTATCATTCAGATTTTATTAGAAGTAGGAGTCAGGAAATAGGATTCAATTAGTGACCTATTAACAGGTTTTCACTAATGAAATCTCATTAGTTTCTAGTGCTATTATTCTGAATTATTAACATTGATTGTTTAAAGAGAGAAAGATATTTTTTACAGCATCTTGACCTTTAAAGAAGAGAAATTAACTGAGAATAGAGCACAGAGTCGTAGAGTTTGTACAACACAGAAAAAGGCCGATTATGTATGCACCAATCATCAAACATCCATCTATTCTAATCCCTTCTTCCAGCACTTAGGTTACAGCTTTGTACGCTCTCACATTTCAAGTATTCATCTAAATAATTCTTAAACATTCTGAGAGTTTCTGCCACTACCATCCTTACAAACGGTGAGTTCCAGATACCCACCACCCTCTGAGTGAAAACTCTTTTCCTCAAGTCCCCGTCTAAACCTCTTGCTCCTTACTTTATTGGTCCCTGGTTATTACCCCCTCCTATTAGAGGAAAGGTTTATCGCTATCTACCTTACCCATGCCCCTCAGAACTGTATATACCTCAATCAGGTTTCCCCTCAGCCTTCTCTGCTCTAATGAACCAAACTCCAGCCTACCTAGTCATAGAGTCATAGAGTAATACAGGAAGGAAACAGGCCCTTCGGCCCAAACTGGTCCATGCTGACCATGGTGCCCACTCAGCTAGTACCAATTGCCCACATTTGGTCCATATCCCTCTAAACCCTTCTCATCCATGTATCTATCCAAATGTTTTTTAAATGTTGCTATTGTACCTGCCTCAACCACTTTCTCTGGCAGCCCATTCCCTAAACGCACTACTCCCTGCGTGAAGAAGTTGCCCCTCAGGTCTTTCTTAAATCTTCCCCCTCTCACCTTAAACCTATGCCCTCTAGTTTTCAATTCCCCATCCCTGGGTAAAAGACTATATGTATTCATCCTATCTATGCCCCTCATGATTTTATACACCTCAACAAGGTCACTCCACAATCTCCTACGTTCCAAGGAATAAAGTCCTATCCTGGTCAACCTCTCCCTATAACTCAGGCCTACTAGTCCTAGCAACATCCTCATAAATCTTCTTTGCACACTTTCCAGTTTAACTATGTCTTTCCTATAATAGGGTGACCAAAACTGTACACAATATTCCAAGTGACTTGGCAACTGTAACATAACGTCCCAACTCCTATACTCAATGCCTCAGCCAATGAAGGCCAGCATGCCAAATGCCTTCTTTACCACCCTGTCCACCCGTGATGCCACTTTCAACAAACTATGTACTTGTACTCCAAGGTCCCTCTGTTCCACAACACTCCTCAGGACCTTACCATTTACTGCATAAGTCCTGCCTTGGTTTGACTTTCCAAAATGAAACACCTCACACTTATCTGTATTGCATTGTATTCGTCAATCCTCAGCCCAATTCCCCAAGATCCCTCTGTAATTTTTGATAACCTTCTTCACTATCAATGATGCCTCCTCATTTTGTATTATCCGCAAAATTACTAATCATGCCGTGTCTATTCACATCCAGATCATTTATGTAAGTAACAATTAACAAAGGTCCCAGCACCGACCCCTGTGGCACACCATTAGTCACAGTCCTCCTGTCCAAGAAACAACCTTCAACCATCACCCACTGCTTCCTACCATTAAACTAATTTTGAATCCAATTAGCTAGCTCTCCCTGGATCCCATGCAACCTAACCTTCATGTCTAGCCTGCCATGTGGGACCTTGTCAAAGTCTTTACTAAGTCCATGTCGACAACATCCACTGCCCTACTCTCATCTATCCTCATGGTTACCGCTTTGAAAAACTCTAAAAGATTTGTCAGACATGACTTCCTGCGCACAAATCCATGCTGACTATTTCTAATCAGACCTTGACTATCCAAATATTGGTCGATCCTGTCCCTCAGTATCCTCTCCAATAACTTGCCTACCACTGATGTCAGGCTCACTGGCCTGTAGTTCCCTGTCTTGTCTTTGCTACCTTTCTTAAACAATGGAACAACATATAGCCACCTTCTGGAACTTCACCAGTGGCTAAAAATGAAGCAAAAATCTCTGCAGGGCCTCTGTAATTTCTTCCCTAGCATCCCACAACATCTGATGATGGAATTTATCGGGCCCAGGGGATTTATCCATCTTAATGCGATCTAAGGCTATGAACACCTCCTCTCTGGTAATATGTATGCGATCCAAAACATCCCGACTTGTTTCCCTTATTTCCTTAGCATCCATTATTAATTCCTCAGTAAACACTGAGGATAAATACTCATTAAAAATCTCCCCATCTCCTGTGGCTCCACACATAGACAGCCATGCTGATCTTTCAAGGGACCTATTCTCTCCCTAGCCACCGTTTTGCTCTTAATGTAGCTAGAGAGCATCTTGAGATTATCTTTAATCTTATCCGTAGATCCATCTCTTACACTCTTTTTGCTCTTCTGATTTCCCTCTTAAGTGTGCTCCTATACTTTTTATAGTCATCTATTCACTTGAGACCGATAGATTAAACCCAATGTATGCCTTCTTCTTTTTCCTGAGGCTCAATATTCCTCGTCAGCCAGGGATCCCTAAACCTGCCAGCTTTTCCCTTCATCCTAACAGTGACATACTGTCCCTGGGCTCTTGATATCATATCTTTAAAATCCTCCCATTTGCCAGTTGCTCCTTTTCCTTCAAACAGACTCACCCAATCACCGCTGCTAGATCCTGTCTAATGGCCCCAAAATTGGTCCTGCTCCAGTTTAGCACCTGAACCTGTGGCCCTGTCCTATCTTTTTCCATAACTATGTTAAAACTAAGAGAGTTATGGTCACTGGACCCAAAGTGCTCTCCAACTGACACTTCAGTCACCTGCCCGACTTCGTTTCCTAAGAGGAGGTCCAGTGTTGTGCCCTCCCGAGTAGGGCCCTCTACATATTGATTTAGTCTCTCTCCATAGCTGAATTTTTAAGAAGGAATTTGATATAGCTCTTAGGGCCTAAAGGATCAAAGGGTATCAGGATAAAACAGGAACGAGGTACTGAGTTGGATGATCAGCCATGATCATGTTGAATGATGGAGTAGGATCAAAGGGTTGAATGATCCTATTTTCTATGTTTCTCTGAATCGCTCCAGCCCAGGCAATATCCAAGTGAAACAAAAACAGAAATTGCTGGTGAAACTCAGCAAGTCTGGCAGCATCAGTGGGAATAAAGTCGAGTTAATGGTCCAAATCCAGTGACTTTTCGTCAGATGATTTATGACACCACCAATTGTCATGTCATCTGCAAATTCAGTGATCTTATCTCCTACATTCATGCCTACATCATTGATGTACACAACAAACAGCAAGGGACCCAACAACAAACCCTGTGGAAACCAATGGACACAGGCTGCCAGTCCCAAAAACACCCTTTGACCATCACCTTTGCTTCCTGACATTATCCTAATTTTAGATCCAATCTTTTAAATTGACCTGGATCTCATGGGATCTTAGTTTTTTAAGCAGTCTGCATTGTGAGACCTTGTCAACCGAGGAGATTCTAATCTCCTGGTTAGATTGGACAGCCAGGGCTTTCCGGATTGGCCCAGGTTAACAAACTCAATCAAGAACCTCGTAGTTAACAAAGTCCATCTGGTTCCAATCACTACAGTGTCCATCAAGAACTGTTATGGGAGGCAGTTCAGGAAGCCAATGAGTTAACAGGAAAACCACGCATCTCATCATAGGATTTGCCTGTTGTATGTAAGTGGTAGGAGGTTATAGGAAGAGACTGGAGAAATTGGGGTTGTTCTCCTTTAGGACAGGGGAGGTTATGGAGTGAATTCATTTTTGCCAATATGTTGTTACCTGTAAGCAGCACGGGGCATTTGTTGAGAAGCAGAAGGCTGGTTATAAATGAGTATCGCACAGTGTCAACCGTACACACAAGATTTTCCGGATTAGGTTGTCTTGATTTGGGAATTCCGGTCATGACTGCTTCAGCGAGACTTGATAACTGCACCCCTGCAATCAGCAACAAGATAGAGTCAGTCTATGAAAGAAGATTCAACTCTGAACTAACGTGGTCAATGTTTTTATCAGTTTTCTTCTCAATAGCTGCATAACCAGAGCCTGCAGAACAGCCTATTTCACACGGTAAAATGTCCCATTGAGTTTTGAGGAAGTTGCCCAAAGCATTACCAGCCTGCGCCTGTAGAGGGCTCAGTCTCAGGGTCGTTATTCCAAAACAGATACAATGCCAGGTTTGAGGTGCCCTTAATGAGTTGGAGTTGTGCCTAATCTGACTTTGACATCCAGGTCCAGGCAGCAAGCTGAGGAACATGCAGATAGCTGGCAGGATGCATTCTTAAATATCCTGCAGCCTCTCACCCTTTGCTGACAAGAAAAGTAGCTATGAGCTCACTATGTGCCAAATCCATTTAATGTGCCAGAAGACTAAGCAGATGTAGCTCAGGCTGAGCCTAAAACGAGATCTTTAAATCTCTAAGCCTCTGCATCATCTACATACTTAAAAAGAATGTGTGGCAGCATCTTAATTACCCCAATGTCTTGACAAATCATATTAATACCATCATTGTTGCTTTGAGGGAATTCCTAGAGGCCTGGTATTCCAACTGGAACTCTATCAACAAACACATTGAACTGGCCTTGATGTACAAACCACTGAAAAACAGAACTGGAAGTAATGCCAACCACCTCAGCAAACCAAGGCATATAAATAACAAGCCGGACAGGACACCAACGCTTCAGTGGAGGCGCACTGATGATATTACCTAGCAGGGTGACAAAACGTCTGCAACCAAACACATTGGCTCGGCGAGCAAGTCTACAACATCATCCACAACCCAAGCTACAAACTTCACAAAAACTTTAAAGGTTCCTTTTTCTTTTTGAGTAATCTTTCAATATTCTTGCCATCCAGGGTGACTGAATCTTGCTACCTTTATCTTTTATTCTCACAGGAACATTCTGGTCCTGAACTCTAATGTACTGGTCTTTAAAAGAGTCCGACATATCAGCTGTGGATTTACTCTCAAACAGCCATCCCAATCCAATTTCCCCGGTTCCTGCCGAATATTGCTGTAATTAGCCTTTCTCCAAGGACCAGTGTTTTGCTTACCCATATCTCTCTTAAAACTTATGGAATTATGATCGCTGTTCCCAAAATGTCCCTGCCCCCATTGAAACTTCAATTATGTGGCCATACTCATTCCAAAATCCAAGGTTTCATATGGCCCCTCCCCTAGTTGGACTATCTACATACTGTTTGAAGAAACCCTCCTGGATACACCTAACAAATTCTGCCCTGCCTAAGCCCCTGCATTAATGGAGTCCCAGTCCATATTGGGGAAGTTAAAATTATGCGCTACAGCAACCCTGTTGGTTTTACACCTTTCCATGATCTGTCTCTCCATCTCCCACTGGCTATTGGGAGGCCTATAGTATAACCTCATCATAGTGACTACACCTTTCTTATTCCTGAGTTCTACCCATAAGGCCTTGCTGGATGAGCCCTCCAAGATGTCCTCTCTTAGTACAGAAAATCAGTAACACAACTCCCCAATCCCTTTTACATCCTTCTCTATCTGACCTGAAACATCTAAACCCTGGAACGCTGAGCTGCAAGTCCTGTCCTCTCAAACAAGTTTTTGTAATGGCTACCATATTGTGGTTCCATGTACTAATCCAGGCTCTACACTCATCAGCCTTAGCTAAGAAGATAGATCACTCCTGCAGCCACAATTATTTACAATTTAAATTAATGACTTGAATGAAGAAAGTATTATTGCGGAGTTTGCAAATGTCACAAAACTGGTGGGAAGACAAGTGCTGAGGATGACAGACAGAAGCTACAGGTTAAGTGAATGATCAAAAACTTGGCAGATGGCACATAATCTGGGAAATTATGAGGTTATGCACTTTGGCAGGAAGAATAGAAGAGCTGAATGTTATTTAAATGGAGAAAGACAGCAGAAATCTGCATCTGCAAAGGGATTTGGGAGCCCTCATCTATGAATGATAAAAAGTTACCACCAAGATCAATGAGCACTACAGGAGGCAAATGGAATGTTGACCTTTATCTCAAAAGAGACTGGAGTATAAAAATAGAGAGGCTTTGTTAAAACTATGCAAAGCACTAGTCAGACCACAGCTAGAATACTGTGAACAATCTTAAGCCCTTTATCAAAGCAAAGATATACTGGTATTGGCAGCATCCAGTGACAGTTCCTGAGGTTGATCCAGGGTATGGAGGGATTGTCTTATCTAGAGGGGTTGAGGAGGTTGGACCAGTAATCACTGGAGTTTAGAAGAATGAGAGGTGATTTGATTAAAATGTATAGGAATTTTAGGGGACGTGACAGGGTAGTTTCGGAAAAGTTGGTCCCTTATAGAAGAGTCTAGGGCTCAAGAACCTAATCTTAGAATAAGTGGTTCTGCATATAAGACAGAGATGAGGAACACTTTTTTTCTTTCGGACAGTACTGAATCTGTGAAATTCATTACCACAGAGGGCTGTCAAGGCTGGGTTGTTAAATATTTTCAAGGTTTAGACAGGCAGACTTTTAATCAGTTCAGGAATCAAGGATTATGGGGAAAAGGCTGGAAAGTGGAGTCACTCCACTGGAGTTGGAGGACCATCAACTCAGACATAATCTCACTGAAAAGTAGGAGACAGAAAACAGGGAATTATAGGCTGGTTAGCCTGCCATTGGTGGTGGGGAAAATGCTGGAGTCAATAATTAAGGATGTAATAACTCTGCATTTGGAAAGCATGACGGAATTGGTCCAAGTCAGCATGAATTCACTAAAGGGAAATCATGCTTGACAAATCATCTGGAATTTTTTGAGGATGGGACCAGTAGAGTGGACAAGGGTGAATCAGTAGATGTTGTGTTTCTGGACTTTCAAAAAGCTTTTGACAAGGTTCCACACAAGAGATTAGTAAGGAAAAATAAAGCTCATGGTATTGTAGGTAATGTATTGACATGGATACAGAATTGGATGGCAGACAGGAAGCAAACATTTAGAATAAACTGGTCCTTTTCAGAGTGGCAGGCAGTGACAAGTCGGGTAACGCAGGGTTCAGTGCTGGGACCCCAGCTGTTCACAATAAACAGTAACGAATTGGACGAAGGCATTGAATGCAATATTTCCAAGTTTGCAGACGACACTAAGCTGGGTGGCTGTGTATGCTGTGAGGAGGATGCTAGATGTTGCAGGGTGATTTGGGCAGATTGGCCGAGTGGGGAAATACTTGGCAAATGCATTATAGCGTGGATCAATGTGATGTTATACACTTTGGTCGCAAAACTATGAAGGCAGATTATTATTTGAATGGTGGCAGTTTAGGAAAAGATGAGGGGTAACCTGGGTGTTATGGTGGAATAGTCACTGAAGCTGGGGATGCAGGTATAGCAGGCAGTGAGGAAAGCATAAAAACCAAAGAAACTGTGAATGCTGTAAACAAAAACAGAAATTGGTGGAAAAGCTCAGCAGGTCTGGCAGCATCTGTGAAGAAAAAATCAGAGTTAATGTTTCAGCTTCAGTGACCCTTCCTCAGAACTGGAACCTTTGCATGCTGGCCTTCATAGTGAAAGAATTTGAGTGTCAGAGTAAGGAAGTCTTGCTGCAGTTATGCTGGGCCTTAGTGAGGCCACACCTTGAGTATTGTGTGCAGTTTTGATCCTACAGTTTAGGACATTCTTGCTATTGAGGGAGTCCAGTGAAGGTTCAACAGACTGATTCCCATGATGGCAGGACTGATATTCGAAGAAAGACTGGATCATCTGGGCTTGTAATCGCTGGAATTTAGAGAAATGAGGGGGGATGTCATAGAAACATATAAAATCCTAATGGGACTGGACAGGCTAGAAGCGGGAAGAATGTTCCTGATGTTGGGGAAGTCCAGAAATTGGGATCACAGTCTAAGAATCAGGGGTAAGCCGTTCAGGACTGAGATGAGGAAGAATTTCTTCACTTAGAGAGTTGTGAACAATTCTCTCTCACAGGAAGCTGTTGGGAGATATATTCAGGAGGGAGCAAGACGTGGCCCTTGTGGCTAAAGGGATCAAGGGGTACAGAGAGAAAGTGGGAGTGGGATACTGGGATTGCATGATCAGCCATGATCATAGAGAATGGTGGGGCAGGCTCAGAGGGCTGAATGGCCTACTCCTGCACCTATTGTCTATGTTTCTATGAATGGCAGGACAGATCCCCTGGTCTGGACGGCTTTCTCTGTTCCAATGTCTTATGGTAATTTCACTAACAATTTCTACAGTTCCAGCACAACTTCCCCACTCTCACATTCTACACCTGAGCTAAGAATGAAAGGGATTCCACATCCTTTCTCAACTACATTAGCCATCTCTCTACTTGTGGGGAGAAAGCAGGATTAGGCTGTTGAGTTGGACGATCAACCACGATCATGAAAAATGGCAGAGCAGGCTCGAAGGGCTGAATAGCCTTCCTATCTTCTATGTTTCTATGTTTCAGGGATTTGCGAACATTCCCTTCAAGGTCCCTCATTTCCTCTGGACTTGTTTTTTTTTAAATTTTCATGCAATGTGAGTGTGGCTGGCTTGGCCAGTATTTACTGCCCATCTGTAATTGGGAAGCTGGTGGTGACCTGCTACTCAGTGTCCTTCCATTCACTGTGTATTACTATTACTGGGGGAAGAATTGGGGTGTCAGTGTCAAAGGGTTTCGGAAGGACGAATGGAGGAATTATGGACTTGTACCACAATTAAGAAAATTAGTGTGTTGCAAATTCAAAAAAGGAAAGTTCAGTGACTTAAAAGGTTACATAAACACTGAAGTTAAAAGTGATCAAATGCAGTGGGATGCCCAATGATAATCAATTCTAAATCTGTAATGAATTTCCGACGGATATCAAATGACAAAATTACTTTGTTCACTAAACTAACAAAGCAAAGCCAAAGATGGTCACTGGTAGGAAAGTAACAAACTTGGAGACTGCTTACCTTTTGAAATAAGCTCCTCTGTGGATGGAACCAGTTTGTCCCAAGATATAAGTTGCCCCGTTTGCATGTCCACGAAATATCCGAAGACAGTCTCTTTTCCAGGTGGAAACGTAACTGCTGAAAAATTCCAACGCGATGTACGAGTCAAGGACAATGATGTTTCCAGAGTGCAGTGCACCCTCAGCATTAACACTCTGACAAAGCAGCACTCCCCCAGTACTGACCCTCCGACAGAGCAGCACTCCCTCAGCACTGACCCTCCGACAGTGTGGCACTCCCTCAGTACTGACCATCGGACAGTGCAGCACTCCCTCAGTACTGACCCTCCGACAGTGCGGCGCTCCCTCAGTACTGACCCTCTGACAGTGTGGTGCTCCCTCAGCACTGACCCTCCGACAGTGTGGCACTCCCTCAGTAGACCCTCCGACAGTGCGGCGCTCCCTCAGCACTGACCCTCCGACAGTGCGGCACTCCCTCAGTACTGACCATCGGACAGTGCGGCGCTCCCTCAGTACTGACCCTCTGACAGTGCAGCACTCCCTCAGTACTGACCCTCCGACAGTGCGCTGTTCCTTCAGTACTGACCCTCCGACAGTTCGGCACTCCCTCAGTTCTGACCATCGGACAGTGCAGCACTCCCTCAGTACTGACCCTCCGACAGTGCAGCACTCCCTCAGTACTGACCCTCCGACAGTGCGGCGCTCCCTCAGTACTGACCCTCTGACAGTGCGGTGCTCCGTCAGCACTGACCCTCTGACAGTGCGGCACTCCCTCAGCACTGACTCTCCGACAGTGCGCTGTTCCTTCAGTACTGACCCTCCGACAGTTCGGCACTCCCTCAGTACTGACCCTCCGACAGTGCCTCACTCCCTCAGCACTGACCCTCCGACAGTGCGGCGCTCCCTCAGCACTGACCCTCCAACAGTGCGGCGCTCCCTCAGCGCTGATGCTCCGACAGTGCGCTGTTCCCTCAGTACTGACCCTCCGACAGTTCGGCACTCCCTCAGTACTGACCCTCCAACAATGCGGTGCTCCCTCAGTACTGACCCTCTGACAGTTCGGCGCTCCCTCAGTACTGACCCTCTGACAGTTCGGCGCTCCCTCAGTACTGACCCTCCGACAGTGCGGCACTCCCTCAGTATGACCCTCCGACAGTGCGCTGTTCCCTCAGTACTGACCCTCCGACAGTGCAGCACTCCCTCAGTACTGACCCTCCGACAGTGCGGCGCT